AAAAATATATATATATTTTAAAACATATTAATTAAAGAGAGGATAATAACCAGATGCCACACAAAATTAGAAAAGGTTATATGTAACAGAAGGAAGAAATTAAATTAATTGAAAGTACTTTATCTTATCAGTTAAAAATACCTTATGTTAAAAAATCCAGTGGTGGATCGCTGTACAATTTTATCTCTCTTTTTTTTTTTTTAATAATATAATGGTAACAATGAAACTTCAGTTGATTAATGGGTCTAGATTTTAGTCCATTCATAATGTTGTGGAAATACATTTGGAACTAGGCTGGTAATTTTCCAGATTTCCTAAAACCAGCAGCTTTGTAGGTGTTCACTGTAAGTTTACTGTTATCAGTCACTTGAAACAATAATATATTTAGAACTTGAATATTAGTGAAGTGTGTTTCTATCTCTGTCTGCTTTAGTTCTTAATTACTAAAACATCGGCACAGAGAAATAAAGAGCAAGTTTTCATTTTGTTACTTACCCATTTATTATTATGATTTAAATGTATCAATGTATTTTTGATAATTAAGTCCGTGGATGCATTAATATTACTGCTGTTTATTTGTGTATACGTGCACGCTGGCCGTTATACGTGCATCTTCCCAGCTACTTATATGTACATGTCTTCCCTTTGTTTGTGGCACTAGGGTTGTGTGTCAGGTTTAGGTAAAAGAGTCTATTTTCTTAAAAGCATCTTTACGAGGATTGACACACTATCGCCTAATTTGCTTAAACTTCTTATATGTCAGTGTATAGGGTAGTGTTGTTGATTGTCCTTGATTTTTCTCAGGCTTAAATGGAATTTACCAGGACTTACCACCTGGGAAAATCAGACTGCTCATGTGTTTGTCTGTCCAAACTTTGGGAGTGTTAACATATTTTTGTGACTTGCCCCATCGATAGCCTAACTAAATTATTCTCCTGGTTATTAATAGAACTAGTCTTTTGTTAAAAGGCAGCTATTTCATTAGAAGAAGAGAGGTGAAACAGGGATAATGAAGTAAAAACTGATAGTACTAATAGTACTAGTAATTAGACTCAGTGTAACTGATATTGTTGCGTGTTCTTATACCATTAATATTTTTCTGCTTTACTGAATTGCATACTTGCATGTTTTGGTTTTTTTTTTTTTTTTTCCCCAGACTTACCAGATCAAGTTTTGAGGGTTTTCAAAGCAGATCAGCAAAGTCGCTACATCATGATCAGTAAGGACACAACAGCAAAAGAAGTGGTGATCCAGGCTATCAGGGAATTTGCTCTCACTGCAACCCCCGATGCATATTCACTATGCGAAGTGTCTGTCACACCCGAGGGTGTAATCAAGCAAAGGAGGCTTCCTGATCAGTTATCCAAGCTTGCTGACAGGATACAGCTGAGTGGCAGGTGAGATCAGAGGCTGTGAGCTAAAGCTGACTATGCCAGTTTATTAAGTCAAAATCCTGTTAATAGGAGCATTATTTAATTGTTAATGTTCTGTTTCTTTACAAGAAATTGCTCCTTATGCAACTTCTAATTCATGTCTAAGCCTGGTGAATTTCAAGTTATTCTACGATTCCAACTGGATGATTACTGTAACTTTCACTAGAATTTGAGTATATTGTATCAAGTGTGTTTTTGAATTTTGTTTTTACAGGTATTACCTGAAGAACAACATGGAAACAGAAACTCTTTGTTCAGATGAAGATGCTCAAGAGTTACTAAGGGAAAGTCAAATTTCCCTACTACAGCTCAGTACTGTTGAGGTGGCGACCCAACTCTCCATGAGAAACTTTGAGCTATTCCGTAATATTGAACCCACAGAATACATAGATGACTTGTTTAAACTCAAATCAAAAACAGGTTGCACTAATCTAAAAAAGTTTGAAGAGGTCATAAATCAAGAAACATTCTGGGTGGCTTCTGAGATTCTGAGAGAAACCAACCAGTTGAAAAGGATGAAGATCATTAAGCATTTCATTAAGATAGCACTACACTGCAGAGAATGCAAGAACTTCAACTCAATGTTTGCCATCATTAGGTATTGCCCCTTAATAATTTTACTTCTAAGTAAAAAGCAAGTCTAACTTACGTCAGCCTAAAAAATAAATTTAACAGAGTAAACCAACTAATACTGCTAACATCAACACTTGTCAATCCACTAAGGAGGGCATTTTTCAGTAATCTAAACTTAAAATTGAAATGCTCACTGAAATATTATTTGGAATGCTGCTATTATGTACTTATTGCTCAAGACAGTGAGGCAAGAGTCATTGGTGAACATGGCACTAAAGAAACTACTGCAGTTATTTAAAAACAAAGACCAAAAGAAACAGCAGTTATATGAAGAAAAATTAAAATATCATAAATGAATGGGTTAATTTCCCAAAGGGAGCTCATCAGTTTATACATGGTTCTCAGTATCTTGAATTCATTGAGCTGTTATATGTTGCCTTTGGTTTTCTTTGTGTCAGCAGTTTCTTGGATGGAACTCTGATAATAGTCAATAGCAGACTCCAATGCCTTATAATAAGCTGTAAATAAAGATCTTTTAATAAGAATTTTTAAAGTTCTGAAAATCTCAGGCAGAAAATCTTTCTTAGTTTTAGAATGAAAAGGAGAAGAGGAAACTCCTAATGTGAGTGTTTATACACATTTTTTAAAAACATTCACATTTCCTTTAGAGTCTCATAAGTCAGGCAGAAAGAACCTAACAAAAAAAAAAACCCTCTAAAATTGTCTCTTATGACAAAGCTTGAGTAAGTTGCATTAAAATGATGATTTCATCACTGTCTCTGGCCAAAGCCCTTGTCACATTCAATCTGCTGATTGAATGTGACACTTTTTCTGAAGTTCACTGGTTTTGAATGCTATTCAATCAAATGTGGCAAGTTCCAAAGTCAAAGATCCATGCTGATAATCAGTCAGTGTCTCTGAGACATAAAAATACTGAGATTTAGCTCAGCTATTTCAGCTGACCTTAATGAGAAATAAAAGGAGCCTGCCTGCTAGCAGAAACTTGAATGAAGAAAAGATTCTAGATACCAAACTTTTCCATAGGTAGAAATTAATAGCAAGACAGGCAGTACCATGAAGGGGAAAAAATAATAATTTCAAAGAAACAATTTCTATTTCAAAGAATAATTTCAAATATATAGAGTCTGTTATATCAATTTCATCTCGACACAACAAAGTCAGATGGATTATTTAAGCAAGAATGGGGTCACTGTGCTCTCACCATGTAAATATCATGTAGGTGGCAGATGGTTTTTCCTCCAGTCGGGGAATCTGGAAATAAGTGGTGACCCTGAGGTACTCCTACATTATGATACTGTTATCAAATTCAGGCACTGTACCAAAATAGTAAGAATAAGTACATTCTCTTCATCAGGTTTAATTACATATACAAGTGTGACTTTTATCTGTTGATGATTACATCATGCAGATATCTCCAGTTTTTATTGCTTTTATAAAAATCTTGAATGTTCAGTAATACACACTGGCAAAAGGAAGTTTTCAGTTTCTGCTACTTCATTGACATTGTGCTGTGCTATTCTGGCTATGTGATATTTCTCACATGAGAAATTTAACATGGTCTTATCTGTTTCTTTCTATTGTTCTTGAACTTCTTTTGCACTTCTGTTGTTTGTTTCAAGTGGCCTGAATTTGGCACCAGTTGCAAGGCTCCGAACTACTTGGGAAAAGCTTCCAAGCAAGTATGAAAAACTGTTTCAAGATCTGCAGGACTTGTTTGATCCATCTAGAAATATGGCAAAATATCGTAATATCCTTAACAGCCAAAACCTACAGCCCCCTATTATCCCCCTGTTTCCTGTTATCAAAAAGGACCTTACATTCCTTCATGAAGGTAAAAGCAGAAGTATGCAATCTTTTACCAGCTAAAGGAAAAATAACTTTGCTACCTAACAACTGATGATGTTAATTGTTGATTGTAGGAAATGATTCAAAAGTTGAGGGCTTGGTCAATTTTGAGAAGCTGAGAATGATTGCAAAGGAGATACGTCATGTTGGTCGCATGGCGTCTGTGAACATGGATCCTGCTTTAATGTTTAGAACGAGGTAAGTGTGTTGTGTTAGGCAGAGCTTTTCCCAGCTTAGAGAAGCCTAGGTGTCAGCAAGAGGTGCTTTTCAAGTGCCCCTTGTTGTATTGGAGCAGTGTGAGTTTTTCATTTGTTAACAATTTACCAAAATTATGTGGTGCTCTCCTGGATTTCAGGAGAAATCATTGCATTTTGGGTTTATCAACACATATTAAAATATTTTATATTAATCCTTAGCTGCCAGTTATGTCATAAAAATGGGATTGCATCAGTGGGAGGGAGGGGGCGATAACTGTCTCAGACACATACATATTAGTCTGTTTGAAATGTTGATGTGCCGTGTGCCAGACTGAAACAGTGTCAGCTAATGGCGTTAGAAAATGTGGAGTGAATGCTCTTTGGCTTCCTGTTAGACCAGCTTATTTCATGCTCTTTTTCTTAATTTGAACGAGAAGAGTTTGTAATACCTGACTGTATGACCAAATCAAGGCTCTTTTTAATGTTTGTGGGCTTCCGGAACTGCTTGTCCTGAGGTCTGGTCTTTTTCTTTCTGAGCCTGTGATCTTTCTCTGTCTCTTCTTAAACCCATGCTTTATTCTTCCTGGCTCTCACTTGCAGGAAGAAGAAATGGAGGAGTTTGGGGTAAGTGGTTGGAGACAACACACACAGACATTCATTCTTCCCTTACCACTTGCATTGTTTCCTACTTGCTTTCTTTAATTTTCTGGTGCTTTGACATTTTTTTTCTTTTGTTAACCCATTTTTACTGACAATATATTTTAATCCAGGAGTGCTTTTGCTTTTGAGGTTAAAACACAAAAATTGTAAGTTATTTATAAGTGGTTGTAGATAGGAGTGGGGTGTTCTTCTCCCCTACCTCCAATTTAAGTTGCCAAAGTAAGTAACATTCAGTAACAAAGAAATTATAAAAAGGCAAGGTTAAAACAGCTGAAAATTGCTGTTAACTTTCTTATGCCTAATAAGCCATTATTACAATCAAATACAATTGTTAAAACTTTCAGTATCTGCTAACCTAACTTATTTTCATATTACAATTCAGCCATCATGTTTACTCTTAACAATTCAGGAACAATGCATAGCTTTCATATAGACATACATACATTGAAATGTGCATGACATGTATTTCATCATGAACTAGTTGACCATTTTATTTAACAAAAAGCTGTCTTCAACCTAGCAAGTTACAAGGAAGTTTTATTCTGTAAAACTGGGCTGTAAATTTTGTATATGGTCTGATTTTAAAAGTATTTAGAGAGCTTTCAAAATGCCTTCTGTATGTGTATTTAAATTTGAACCTCAGCTATAGTTTTCTGTCAGCGTTGCCTTACTGCATGAGCTTTTCCTAATGCTCCAATCTGCTCAGTAGCTGGCTTACGTGAGAGAGCTAGCTTGAGTGCTTTTCTAGATGTGTGAAGTGATATTGCCTAGTTGGAGGAGAATAGGTTAAAATAACTGCGTAATTCAAATAGTGCCTGTAACCAAGTAAAAAGATTTCCTGATCCTCATCCTTCTGTCTGTTATAGCTGTTTGACTTACTGGAATGAGGCATGTAAGCTTTGACCATAGACTGACATTCATGCAATCTTTTGCACGTTTCATGTTTATCAAGTCATACTATGTTGGACTAAGTCATACTCGTCCCCTCTTTCCTGCCCCTCCTTCACTCCAGGTCTCTCAGCCAGGGCAGTACAAATGCAGCTGTGCTGGATGTTGCGCAAACGGGGGGTCATAAAAAGCGGGTCCGTCGCAGCTCCTTCCTTAATGCCAAAAAACTGTATGAAGACGCTCAGATGGCACGGAAAGTAAAGCAATATCTCTCAAACTTGGATCTGGAAATGGATGAAGAGAGCCTCCAGACGCTGTCTCTGCAGTGTGAGCCAGCCACCAACACATGTGAGCATGGTGATTTGTTATGGATTTCAAGGAGACTGTTAAACGTACCTCTGTTACTTCTCCGAGGAAGTAATTGGGAATAGTAACTAGATAATGAGGTGGAAAACGATGTGTCTAGTCATTTCCAAATACTTAACATCTATGAATCTTAAGGAAATCATCTTGCAGATTAACAATGTAGAGACATAGCATTTATATAGGAGATGAGGCTTTCAGATGACGTAATGCAGAAGTGCACAACGGTTCTTGAGATTTGTCTGTACAAAGGGTAAGGAGGAGGCAAAAGTTTCTCTGCAGTTCCAATATACTCAGGCTGTTGGTGTGAAGAGGGTTGGTCATCCTGGATATCTTCCTTGAGAGGGAAAAGGGGATTTCTTTATGTCCAGCTGTTTCAGAGGCACTTGGAGGGCCGTACCTGGTTGCAGTGGTGGGTGACCTCATGCTGGAAAGTGGTTTAATTTTTATTTGAGGAAATGCTGTGTGTTTTATACCCTTCCCTTCCTTAAGGGTAGCAAATAATAGTAGTTATATATCCATTCTGAACCAGTTGTAGTCCTTATGATAGCCCAGAATAAATTCTGGTCATGCTTTTGACAACTATAACAATATTAATTTATGAGAGTTTTATTTTGGAAAAGAGTAAATATTCTTTTATTATGTCCATCTTTTAAATAGAGTTAAATCTCCCCCTTTTCCTCTTCATCTTTTCTCTCTAAAGGTATCCTAATGCATTAATTGTACAAGTATTTGAGCATCTTTTAATTATTAATTGGAGGGCTCTGCACTGCTGGGATTAAAACTCCCACAATATTTTTAGCTCATAGTCATTCTGTACTTTCTCCCATTTCTCGCAAAGTGCCGAAGAATACAGGAGACAAGCGATCTGGAAAATCTGAAACGTCACCGGTGGCTCCCCGGGCAGGCATTCAGCAGAAAGTGCAACAGCAGCAGCAACATAAAGTAAACCAAGCGTTGCAGGTCCCTGCTGTATCTCTTTATCCCTCTCGCAAGAAAGTGCCAGTCAAAGATCTCCCACCATTTGGTAAGTGGAACAGTGAAGTGTTTGGTTTAATACTCTGAAGTTCATTTGCTCGTGTCAGGGAGACATTGTTAATCTAATAAGATTCAGACCTTTATTTCTAGTAGTACTATAAGCAGATTATGCCAGTTCATGAAGTGTGTATGCATAATTTCCTTCTCTAGAAATGGAAAGGAAGAAATCCAGGAGAACAGCCTGTCAATTTAGTCAGTATAAGTATTTACATGTTACTAGCAGCCGGAAAGAATGAATGTTTCCGACTATCTGCCCTGGGATCTTGGCTTAACTTTTCAAAAGAGATTAGTGACCTTGGAGTTTTTGAGTGGCCTGTCTGAGATGTCTCAGTAGTTTTGGTATTTTTTCAAAAGTTGAACATTTAATATGAAATTTAGGGCTGCTCAAGCTGGTAGTCCTGTTAGAAATGTAGGCCTGAAGTTTCATGCTGAGAATTATCCCATTGGCTTCTGCTCCTTAGTGCTTTTTTTGATGTTGTTGTTACTGCCAGCATGTCGCTCAGAAAGGTACTAGACTACAGGAATTTCTTCTAATCTGATGTCCAAATCTGTGTCCCAGCATGTGTACATAACATATATGCATTATTAAATAAGTTCTTACGTATCACTTGAAGTACAGTAATATTCTTAATAAATATATATAGTATAACTGGCCCTTCCTGTTACATTATGGTAATTTCACAAGAGCTTAATTTTAATTTAACTTTTTGTTAGTTCTACTTGTGCACTGCTTAGGCTTCTAGACAAACATTTGGAAGTAGCAAAATGAGCAAGAAACAATTCAATCTTCATCTAGTTCGTGTTGATTTTACAATTAAATTTTAATCTTAAAAGGACTTTGAAGCAATATAGACTTCATTTTTGCTCATGGTGGGAAACTTTTGGAAAACTGATTAGGTTATGTTGATGAAGCAGCTGTAAATTATTGATAGCAGCATTGTGAGCCAACAGATCAAAGATAAATTCTGTAGAATGCTTGAAAATAACCTCTACCACAAACATTTGCAAAACTGTCAGAAAAGCTCCGTCTTCACTTTTTAAGACTGTCCCAGGTGTGGGATTTTGAGGGGAGGGGAAGAGAAAGATGGATAAATGTTGCCTAAGAAAAGCAACTCTCAGTGCCCTAGATCTTTACATCATACATCATCTTCAGGATGTTGTTACTCTTTAGTTTCCCAAAATAAGCTGGTGCAGAGACAGTTCTCAAAAATGAAAGCAGCTGCAGGGATGGCCTTGTTTTGTAAGCTCAGTCTTATTCATCTTCTTTGCAGCTTTCTTTGACCTTCTAAGCTACTTTGAATAGAAAAGAAAAAGGAGAATAGTTTCAATTCTTACTATATAAACCTTCACTAACCAGTGATACTTCTGTGTGTTTGTGTTCAACATAATTTTAGTTCAGGTTTCTCGGTGACCATTACTATGTATATGCTTGATTTGTATATTGTGTAGGCAGTATTCTAAAACACCAAATCTGCATTGTGTTTCCTGTGACAGAGTATTTATTTTAGGTGACCAAAATGAAACAGTCTTCACTAATATTCAAAAATAAAGTGCTGCCTTTTAAACAGGAGTAGGTTTAAACTTTTTGCTTCATTTAAGTTGGTGTCAAAAACTCACAAATATACTAACTCACAAATATAGTAATATACTAAAACTAAGTTTTTTGTCCTATATGGTGTCTGCTCTATAAATGCATTATGAAACAAAAAGATGTATTTATACTGGACTTTATATCTGCTTATGTTAATTCTTATTTAAAGGCATTAACTCCCCGCAAGCTTTAAAGAAAATTCTTTCATTATCCGAAGAAGGAAGTTTGGATCGTCACAAGAAACAGTCTGAAGACACAGTCTCAAGTGCATCTTCACAGCTGTCTTCTCCCCCCACTTCACCACAGAGCTCTCCAAGGAAAGGTATTAGATGTGTGATATTTCTCATCCTGTTTCCTGAAGCTCGTAGACTTTGGAAACTTCTGAGAGAGAATTTAGACACTCAGGATAAATTACTGCTGCTCCTATTTTTGTCACATGTGATCAGCAAGCGGGCAGGAAGTATAGTGCCCAGTGGGATACGTGAAAGGATACCCAGGAACCTGACTTGAGGGATACCTGAAAGCCCTCTGGTTAGCAAAAGCCAGGAAAGATAACCTGATTTGATACGGGATTTGATGCAGTAGGTCACTCTCACTGCAGCCGCTTCTGACAAAAATATTTTCGTTATCAGTGTTTCCTGCCAGTAGAAGGATGTGCAGATTGTAACTTCGAATCTCTGTACAGCATTGAGCACGCTAGCCTGTTAGAGGAATTCTTTGCTGTGTCATGCATCTGGATGGGATGTGACCTGTGTATGACAGGCAGGCTTAACATATTTGGGATTCAAATCACTAGTACACAATGTTTTACTAGCAGCCTGAATAATTATTCAAATAATGTATATGGATATTTGAGGAATAGTATTGCACAGTGGAGCTTTCTTGACTGACTTCTTTTTAAGTGACTTTATTGAGTTATTTTTTTTAAAGTGAATTTAGGACTTTAAAGGGATTTTTTTTTTTTTAAGCCTGTTTGTACTTTCATTGTACTTGTTCTGTTTATGAATTGACAAAACAGAGAATGGGGGCATTTTCCTGTAGTTTAAATAACAAAGTTGTTCCCTTTGGAAGTATGATAGCCTAGTCATATTGCAGATAACTTCTAGGTTATTCTCTTTTCAGCATATCATAAAAGTTCAGTTTAACAGTTACATAGTATAACATTATGGTAAAATACATATTTTGGGTTGAGTCTCCATAACAGAAGTTCAGAATGCTAAAAAGATGAATGTGTCGGAGACTTCCCTGTAGCAATAACTTTCCCTAAACTGTACAGGGTTGGTAAGGATTTGAAACTTCTGTATCACTTTTTCTACTTTCTTATCAAATGGATAGCTGAGCCCTTTTCTTAGTGTGGTAGGTGGCAGTGCCGATCAGTTGAGGCAAAAAGCAGATTGCAAATATTATTATAAACTTAAGAAAATTCTTGGCTTGATGGTGTCATGGTATGCTCTTTCAGGCAAAAATGGTATGTTACTTCAGGCAAATCTGGCAACATTAATACCATGTTCTCAGCAAGTGAATTGGGATAGTTCCGTTGAAATCGTCTTGACACTTACGTGTAGACTGAAAGCAAAAAATGAAAGCTGCAGATACGTGTAGATTTCTGTTGTTTAATGATCTTTAACTTAGCTGGCAAGAGCATTCAGCACAACTTTGTTTAATACTCAAACACAAGCTGAATTTGCCTCTGACATTTCATGGTTTGCAGATTTTATCTTGACCTGGCAGTGTCAATACTACCTCCAAATTACAGTATAATTCTGTTTATATATGCTATGGAAAGTTGTCTTTTGGGAATGTAATTAGCCAGGTACCACAAAGAAATCTTGAAAATCTTGAATTTGTTTTTTAAACTTCATTGAAAACCTCTTCAGGCCCTCTTTTGGCCAAGATATGTAATAAGCAGTCATCCCAGGCACCTGTGCTGCGTGCTGTATCTGCTGTTCATCTCTGAAGTGTAGCTTTGCAGAAGAGGAAAACTGGGGGAGAGGGCCTCTTGGATTACTTTAAGCATTAATCTTGTCTCGGGCATCTCTTTCATTCCAATCTTGGTGACAGTGTTTATGTACAGGTAGTTGTTTTGAGAAGTGAGATTTCATAATGAAGGGATGCAAGTATGATGATGCATTTGAAAATAACTTGAGGGAGGAGGGCAGAGAGGAAGGAAAGTGAGCTCTTGGTTTCTGAATGAGTAGTGCATGTTCTCACAATCTTGAACCTCTTATTAAGAGACAGAATACATGGTGTTACACAGTTCTGCTATATGCCTTTGTCTTTTGCAGTGCTGCTTCTGTGTAAATGTAGTTGTAGTTTTGATTTGCGATGGTAGCAGTAATGCCAGCTGCCTAGCCGTACCTGAGCAGGTTTCTCCGAGAGTCTGATTAACATGACCTTCCCTTTGCAGGCTATACCTTGGCTCCTAGCGGCACGGTGGATAACTTTTCAGATTCCGGTCACAGCGAAATTTCTTCCAGATCTAGCATTGTCAGCAATTCCTCTTTTGACTCTATGCCAGTCTCCTTGCATGATGAGAGGAGACAGAGGCATTCTGTCAGCATTGTGGAGACAAATCTTGGTGTGGGAAGGATTGATAGAAGAATCCTGATTGAACCAGATCAATACAGCTTAGGGTAGGAATTTTATTTGTGCTTACTTACATTATGCTTTCATGTGGTATATATGTGGCATGTATATGTATATATTTTTCATGTAACTTTCCCTGTATCTCTCTCAAATGTTTTTTTTCTCCCCAGCTCTTAAAAAACACTGTTTCAATGCTGATAATGCTCCATTTTCTGACTAGAAAAGTTTTTGCACTCCTGAGTGTATGTTGAGGTCTACAGCATTAAGACTTTGCCTCAATAGACTTTATCATCTGAGCATTTGGTAGTGCTGTAGATTATCCCCTTTATGGCAGACTAGTATCCTAGCCTGTTTTCTAGATGGGGAATTAACTGAATTAGATGAGAAATTATTCATACAATTATTCAGTGATCAAGCTGAGAACAGAAATAGCTAGTAATTTTCCAGTCTGCTTCATAGAAAAGTACATATTTATCTAATCCAGAAATATTTTACCCCAAATATCTCTCCTAGTCAACAATAATTGGAAGCTAAAATTCACATTAGACTGCTGGTTTTCTAGGTAATTTTCTAGGTAATTAACTTCTGTAATAGTGGGGAAGCTAGTGCTGTGAGGAGTTCTCTAAATCTCTACCAGTGAGCCTTGGACTGAAAACAATTGGAGCTCTGGCTCCTATTCAGTCTCCACTTACTTTTCTGAGCTGTTATTTGGATGCTTCAGTCCTCTGAATCATTTCAGGGCTTTTTATCCTGTAGGGTCTGTGGATGGCAGGCCTGTTCCAAAACTGGTGTACTTCAGCTTTAGGAATCTCAGGCTATGCAAACTCTTTAATGAGACATCTTAAATATTTGGAAGAGCAGGGTTCCAGTCTGCATACCAAGCTGCCCTGGAAGGACATCTAGTCTAACCCCTCAGTATGTTTGCTTTTTTCTTGACTGTTGAGTTCTTCATGTGTCTTGTAAATTATCTCCAATTCCAACACTGGATTTATTTTTTTTTTCCCCTCATCAATGTGCATCTAGGTCATATGCACCACTGTCAGAGACCAGAGGCCTGTATGCTGGAGCAACTGTGCTTTCTTCTCCTAGTACAGAAGAACTGTCACAGGATCAGGGGGACAGAGCTTCGCTTGATGCAGCTGACAGTGGCCGTGGTAGCTGGACTTCTTGTTCGAGTGGTTCTCATGACAACATACAGACAATACAGCACCAGAGAAGCTGGGAGACTCTGCCTTTTGGATATGCTCATTTTGATAGTTCAGGTGATGGTGCAGGACTGTGGTCCTCGGGCAGTCACATGGACCAGCTGATGTTCCCCGATCATGGCACAAAGTATGGCAGGCAAAGTCAAGGCAGAGAGGGACTTGATCAAGCACAGTCCAGAGCAAGCTGGGCATCCTCAACAGGATACTGGGGAGAGGACTCAGAAGGCGATACAGGTACCATAAAGCGGAGGGGTGGGAAGGATGTTTCAATTGAAGCTGAAACCAGTAGCATAACATCTGTACCAGCAGAGGAGTCAAAGCCAGCTCCCGTGCCCACTCATATAGCAGCAGCATCAAGTAGTACAAAGGGGCTTATTGGTAAGTTAAGTTTTGTTTGCCATGAAGTATTTTAATTCATTTGCTTATCGTTCTTCGTATTGTTCTACAACTGCATTTCTTTTGTTTGGTTTGATTTTTTTTTTTTACATTCTTAAAGCAAAACCAAATGTTTTGCAGTCTTTCGCAAATTTTCCCCTTTAGCTGTGCATTTATTGCTAGGGAAAATATCACTTATTGTTGATTCTCTGTTCTTGCAGCGCCTTTGTGTTTCAAGAGAGCCTGCCATACATCAAAAAACTATCTCAACTGCTGGGCAGTGTTTTGAGAGGTTGATGTATTTAGATGTCTGTTCTGAAATGTGAATTTCTCTTCACAAGAAGTCTCTATGTTCTGTATTTAGAAATCGTAATAAATGTGGCCTGATTTTTTTTTTTAGAAGTGTTTTACTTTATACGTCTCTATGACTTGTCTGATAATTGTGGATATTCTTTATTTCTGAAAATGGGATCCCTTTGTGCTTAAATACCAACTGAGATTTTTCTTTGGACTGCTGAAACTGAAGAGGTTCCTAAGAAGTGAGAGCTGAAATACATTTATAATCAGTCAACAAAAAAAAAAAAAGACAGAGTAAACTAATCTGAAGGTGTCTTTGGCAGAGCTTAACATTTTTCTCATACTGTTCATTCTATGGATCCCAGTCCTTGGGCCATCCAAGACCTCTGCATTTTTGCCTCCTCCTTCCTTTCATTCCCTTTCACTTTGCTTTTCTTCAGGTTAATATGAAGAACTATCTAAAAGCCGTTCTGTGCTGACACAGCTGAAAAAGTCTGCCAGATTGAGGTCATGCTGAGACCTCTGTGATAAACTGCTTATCCATTTTCTACCCAAGTATATTGCTTAGCAGTGGCCCATTGCCTCAAAGCTTGGGTGCAGATCTGAATCCCTGAAGTGTGAAGAGGAGGAAGCTGTTAAGTTCAGGACTGCAAGTTCAGATTCATGCCACTCTCTAATTTTACCCTTTGATACTCTTGGTTTCCACCAGAATATGGAACAAGGGAGCTTCCAAACGTGCCTCTCAAGGCAATGCTTGCCCCTATGCTTTTAGAGACTTAAGAGAATGTGAAAGAGACCTGAAAATTCAAGCCATAGACTTCTATGCGCTTCAGTACTATTAACTAATTGTCCTGCAAATGTAACTCTGAATATCACTGTCCAACAGAAGCCACTATTTTTACATGGTTCTTTTGCACTGAATAGACGTTGATCTCTTGCAGTATTTCCATAGAATTTTTCTACGTAATTTCTTCTGCATTGAAGTTACTTTTCAGAAATCTTTGAATAAAATTTCTCAGAAACTTCTTCATGCTGCTTTGCTCAGTTAAAACTGTTTGTCCAAGAAAAATACTTGGATTCTACTGGAAACTATTTGGTTTTGTTATAATACCAAGACTTTTATTTTTAGTCTATAAAAATTCACATCCAAGTAGCACCAGTCCATTTTGAGCTTGTACTGCCCTTTCCGTCAATTCCATGCTACATAATGTAGGCTGATGTTGTCATCAGCAATTGTGTGAGAATATACAGTGTACAACAAGGCGTGGAGAGTAAATTATCTGTGTCAGTGGTTTTTCCTGCTGTGTTTACCTTTGTACTGTAAGTTAAGTGGTCATGTGTTAAAGGGCTAAACCACAAAAAAGTGTTGAATATCAGAGCCCCAGCTGACTTCTTTAGGCATAACTCTGTTTTGGAGTTAGGTACTTATCTGCTGTATGTCCATGCAGATGCTTAAAATTCTTGATCTCTGTTTCCTCCCTTGAAGTTTTCTGCAAGAGAGAACTAAGTATGCCCAGAGTTAAGTCTTGTTAATGAGAGCTGCAAACTGGGTGGTGGTCTTTCCATCTCTTATATAAAATCATATTCAACCATTGATCTTATAGGCATACTTTCAATTTTTGATTTTGCAGAGAATATAACTGTAAGAGCAGTCGGCAGTAATGCACACAGAAAGTATGAAGATGAAGCCCACTTCTCTTACCTTTTGGAGTCTTAGCTTATGTCTCAATAAGTAGTAAGATTTGTAGGAAAAAATAATGTGTCAGGTGCTCTTTTATTTTTTCCCTTGCAAGATGCTAAAAACGAAAGAAATAAGCTCTTGGGTTCAAAGCCCATCTTCAGGCCTGAGATAGTCATGTTTGGGGAGATGCCAGTATTCCTGATGCTTGACAGTTCTGTGGACTCTTGAGTCTTCCATGTTACTTTGATCAGTGTACGTTTTATTCTGTACAATTGATGGAAGAGCTTCAGTTGCTAAGCTTGAAGAAAATTCCCCATGTAATTTGGTGAATTTTATTAGACTAATGCTTCACTACTGGAAGAATAGCTGTATCCTGTGTATGTTGTATATTCTGTACTTTCTTGCATGGTGTATTTTTCAGGACCTCATTTTCTACTGTTTGGTAGTTAACTTTGATCCTTCAGATTTTCTCCTCCTGGGCTGTTGAGTTGGTTGATGTTTATTTAGCGTTCACTGTTTATTTTCCTTTGACCAGTTTTCCTCTTCCTATCTCTTAAAATAATCTGTTGTTTTTCCTTCAGCACGAAAAGAGGGTCGATATCGGGAACCACCTCCAACTCCTCCTGGTTATGTAGGAATACCTATTGCTGAGTTTGCAGAAGGTAGTTCCCATCCAACCAGAAAGCCTCCAGATTACAACATAGCACTGCAGAGGTCTAGAATGGTGGCACGGACGTGTGAGACCCACGGAACATCAACTCCTCAGCAGCAGTTGCATGGCCATTCAACTAGCAGGCCTGTGAACAAACCTCAGTGGCATAAACCAAATGAGTCAGATCCACGTCTTGCTCACTATCCATCTCAAGGGTTTTCCACAGAGGAAGATGGTAAATTTCTAATTGTTAGATTTTGAGTGTGCTGCATGCAAAAGTGGTCCATGCTTTCACAGACATATTTACGCAAATGTGTTCTGCCATATAAATTCTTGCCATAATTTGAGCTCTCTTCCATCTTTCAAAACTTGCCATTGTTAACTTTTTGGAAGGGAAGGAATTCAGTTCATCCTAAATATGATTTAAAATTTGAAATGTAGGTCCACCTGAGTCTTGGACAACCAAGCAGTTGGCTTAGGCAACTTCTTTGGACATGCCGACAGATAAAGCCTTGGCTGCCCTGAAAGTTTGCAGAGTACCTAATGTTTGGCACTAACCATGCATTTCGTGGTCAAAAAAGTATCCTGGTCTATAGAAATAGCTGCCCATCTGCCCCGTAGAGCATTGTTGATCAGGTTTATTTGGATAGTCATTTGCAGTCTGCCTGAAACTCTTACATTTTGGGTGTGTCTTCTACACCAACTGCTTGACAAAATGAGTCCACTACACTTTTGCTACTTTGCTTGCCAAAGCGTGTATCTTCATGCTTCAGCTCAGCTATAGCGATAACAAGACTATGTAGATGTAGTCTTTCTGTTTTTCTGTGGGGTGCAAGTGTAGCTCAATTGCATCTTCAGGGCTAGATGCTCAAAATTTAGGCAGACAGTGCCCGAATCACACATTTGAATGCTTTGGTTTGCTTAATGGAAGAAAGGCTAATGTTCCCCTTCCCTCTCTAACTGCTTAGTTACTAAGGCTTTCTGTGCAGGAAGAACTTTGCAGTTGAACGTGATGGAAACAAATGAAGTCTACCTTAACCAAATTGCCTCGAACTTTGAGAATTACCATGACAGAGAATTTTAATTGTTTCTATCAATGATGACTAAAGCTGCACTCAATTTTTATGCAATCTTAATTTAAATAAATCACAGATACATTCAGGGAAAAATGTAAGATGGCTTTATGAAGCTATTGGTTATCTAGCAGTAGCTGTTGGGTTCCTCAGTCTGAGGAACTGCACCTAGCTCAGTTACAGCAATTGTCTTATTGTCTTAGGGAACAAAATTATACAGGAATAATTCTCATGAGACCTGAAATGTACAGATATATAGATTGTTTTAAGATATATACCTAATACAATGGAATGGAAAACACATGAACACAGTACAGGTTGCTTCTTTCAGTAGCAGTCTTGTTCTATATGAACTAAATTCTATTTTCCCCTATCCTATTGTATTTGCAGAAGATGAACAAGTCTCTGCTGTCTAAGACTTGGGGCTTTTCTGGATCCAGAGTGAGCCACCTTAAAGGAGAGCACAAGAAGACGTCCCTAGAATAGGAGCCTTGGAACTATAGTTAAAGGATGGTGGACCTATTTGCCTCCTTCCCTGCCTTAAAGCAGCATGGGGCTTCTTCCTCCGCCCCTCCCCCTTCTGTCCCCTCTCCCCTTGCATGTGAAATACTGTGAAGAAATCGCCCTGGCACTTTTCAAACTGTGTTGCTTGAAATGCACAGTGCAGCAATCTCCAAGCTACCACTGTCGCTGTCTGCCACATCACACAGTATCATTCCAAATTCCAAGATCATCACATCAGGATGATTAACTCTGGCTGCACTTCCCAATGCCTGGAAGGGTTGTTTTTTTTTTTTAATCTTCCTTTTAGATTTTAATCACAATCCTAGCACTTAGTCTCATTGGGATGATGAGATCAGCTAGTTGTCAAATTACATGGCCTTTAACCTACAAAGAGAGAAATGCATTGAAATCCTTCAAGGAGGCAGTGCTTATTTGCTTGTTTACAATGCCTTTGTTACCATTTTGTATGTTTGCGTTTCGGAGATCAAATACTGCATCTGCATAGTAATTACAGTATTATTTCATACCTGTAGGTAGGGTTGCCAGCCTGAGCTCCTGAAGAGAATATTGCTATCGCGTGGCTGAGCAGGGTAGGAGGGAAGGCGGAGGTTATGGGATGCAGCCTTTCCTTGACCCTCTCGCTTCACTTTTAATGTGCCCCACCCTGGAATCTTCAAAAGCTTGTAAATGTTAGCGTTAATTGCATCCTCAGCCGGGTCTGGTGTAAATGCAGAAATGCGTGCTTGCAACCGTCCGGTGATGGAAGAGGACACTGTGTGTCTCGTACCTGTGCCTTGCAGAATACAGGATGGCATACTGAAAAAGAGCGTGTCCCATTCTAATGAGACAGACGGCAACCCCACCTTTAAGTTATATATTATTTTTATTTTATTTTATTTTTACTATATAGTAGTTATATTAAAAGAAAAATTAACTGGATAACATTGCAGTGAAGGCAAGTTGGGATGTCACAGCTCATGTCAGCTGTTAACACTGATCTAATAATCTCCATCTATTGACTTTGGCATTAGGGGATAAATGAGTCCTTAAATAATGAAAAATAACACGTTTAGATTTGTCAGCCTTTGCAATGCAGAAATAGTCACAACTGTTAATGGCTTCATGGAACACTGCATGTGTAGAGAAGGCCAATGTGTAGCAACCACCTGCTCACAGCTGCTATTAACCCTATAATGACTGAAATGACCCTCCCCTCTATTTTTGTGTTGTTTTTGCACAGACTCCGGAGAAGTGAAGGCTGCCAATCTGAGTAGTACTCAAATGTGAGGAACTGCTGGTCTTGGATTTTTTTTTTTTCATTGAACTCAGCTGATCATATTGATCAGTAGATAAACGTAAATAGCTTCAACTTTTAAAGATCAAATTGCAGTGTTTTTTCACTGTATCAAACAAATGTCAGTGCTTTATTTAATTCTCTCTCCTGTAATCATAGCTTTTGTCTATTTGCTTATATATCACATTGTCAATTATGCATTTGTAATTTTACATGTAATATGCATTATTTGCCAGTTTTATTCTCAAGGCTATGGACCTCATGTGCATATAGAAATACAAAATCCTAGCTCTATCACAAGTTGCACAAATGTTATATAAGCATTAAGTAATTGTAGACCATAGGACTGCTAATCTCAGTTCGCTCTGTGATGTCAAGTGCAGAATGTACAATTAACTGGTGATTTCCTCATACTTTTGATACTACTTGTACCTGTATGTCTTTTAGAAAGACATTGGTGGAGTCTGTATCCCTTTTGTATTTTTAATACAATAATTGTACATATTGGTTATATTTTTGTTGAAAATGGTAGAAATGTACTATGTTTATGCTTCTACATCCAGTTTGTATGAAGCTGGAAAATAAATAAATATAACATTAATGAAGTCCATATTGATTCTTATGCATTTTACATGTTCCACATACTTGAACAAATTTATGAAAAAATTTTACTTCTCTGTGTATTAATATTAAAGGGACATTGCCAAGTGATGTGGGCAAACCATTGGTGTGGAGTTTTTCTTAATACGCAGTTGTGTTGCTGATATAATTTTTGAGAAGTTTGGTGTGTGTACTGCTGAATGAGAATGACTGATACGTTGTGTGTCCCCAGCAGAAATATCTGAGATGCTGAAAAAGGAGTTCCTATTGGAGTGGTCTTGGGTATATAGAGCTTGTAAACAGTTTTAAAGGAATTGTCGTGTTGATTTGATATTCTGTATGGTGTAAAAGTAAGGAGTACATGTTGTAGCATGTGGGTAGGGAGAAGCGTGGAAAGTGATCCATTTAAGCTTTTACCAAAGAAGGTATTTCAAGTAATAAAGATCACCCAGTAGCATCCTCAGTAATAAAAGTTGATGTTAATTCAATGTCAAATATGTAGATTTTTTTTCCCCCAGACATTAGATTCATTATTTTCAGTATTATGTAGAAGACTGGGTTAAAATGTCACTGCTAAAGCCATTATCAGCTATATCCCACTTAGCTTTAAAATGCTCGACAGGCATTGTTTCCAAATCTAAAATTAGCTAATTGCAAAGAGAAGCAACAAAATGCTTTGTATAGATTTAATTCTTCCTAATATAACTCTAGAAACATTCCACACTTAAAATACAATCATAAGCAAGTTAAAGATCATTGAAAATATAGGACTGATGTAAACATTCTTTATTCATCACTGGAATCTCTAGAATGGTGAGGAAAGAAGTCATGAGACTACTGGATTTGTATGGGCCGTGTGTGGGTGGGACTGATCTCTGCTAATATGTGGCTGCCACTTGTGTGCATTTCAACGAGCTAGAGAACTATCATTGATTCTGACCTTAGTAGAATTAAAGTACATTTTTACATATCTTACATGTGAACTTGTCCTTTGGTAATACTAAAGGTACGTCAGTCATTTGGGAAATAATTCCTTTTATAGACTTGTGAGGTATGTGAACCATTTACACACTTGTCAACTTTTTTTTTTTTTATATGCTTGGTACAGTGTTGATTGAATTAAGTAACATTCCCTCTCTTTCTGTTTATGCCTCCCTTCTGTAATTAGTATTTTTAGAACACATTATATAGAGATATCCTCAACACTCATTGTCCAATACACATGGCTTAATTCACTGTGGACTGCAAGATAAAGAACACTTCACACGGCAGCTGCTTCAGTAGGACTTGCTATGGTGTGGCTCCTTATGAAGCAGATGTGATAGTTGTTCTAGTACATGTCATAAGAATTTTGTACTTACTGTGTAGATACAGCAAAATGTGGACAGGTAAACTACCACTTGCTGGGATTGGTGTTGCATTAACCGAAATCACACTGAAATCTAAGGAAGGCTTTTGTCTGAAGAAATGTCATTCAATTATCTGTACTCTTTTATGTTTTTGTTTGTGTGTTTGTTTGTTTTACTGAAACTTGGTGAGGCAGAAGCTCCTCCTTTATGCAGCATGTTACACAATGGAGTCAGCCCTAAAAGCTGTAAGAGATGAAGTGTTGAAGGTACTGCTCTAATGGTTTAACCTTGGTCATCTGGAGAAGCATGCGTGTTTTGCAAATCTGAGACTGAAATATTTGCTCCACCTAAAGCTGGGAACTGTGTTGCTACTTTAATACAAACAATTTGCTTCAAAACTAGTAGGAAATGTAATAAAGTTCCAGACTTCCTGTCTCGTGTGGATTGTACAATAATTGAGACAAAATCAACTCTGGAGAATGCAAGTAATGATGTACTTGCAAGTATTACTTCATGTGAGACAAAACATCAAAAAGACTTTTGTGGACAAAGATTATATAGCAGCAACAGCCTATCTGACATTAATTAAATAACACAGATCTTTTGAGGAAAACATGGACATTGTTAAGATTACTCTGAAAATTGACCCATTCAGGAGAAAGCAACTGTCTGAGATGATCGGTGTAATTTGTTGATTTGTCCCTAGATTGTTCTTTTAGTAAGCTTTACAGTCTTTCGCCTAAAAATGACATGCTTTGAGAGAAGGCTGGGAGTTAAAGTAGGTTTATTACTCACCTAAGATGGATTAAATTAGTTTGATTTCCACACCACTGAAAATGTGATAAAAAAAATAGTAGTTTTTACTAGAATACAAAAATCTTTAAAGTTGTATCTTGCTTATATGAAGTGGCTATTTAGGAATGAGTAGATATACCCAAGGTATGAGAAGTATCATAACTAGTCTTCGAATTTGTAAATTGACATAATTGTATAACAGGAACAAGCCAGGAAGCTATAAAAATTGAGGGCATTCAACTACTAGCAACCACCAACTGCATAATCTAAACTATTCTCATTTGGTTTGCCTGGAAATAAATTTATCCACTGACAACTCCACACACACGGCTGCATTCTTCCTGCAGAGAAATGAGTCCTTGCTCTCTGTGTCAAGACTCAGTTTGCATTAATTGGAAGTGCTGGCTTTTCCTTAGTGTAGACTTGGCTACCTCAGCCTTTTATTCGGTGACACTCTCTCGTGGCTTGGCGTGCATAGTCTTCTCTTTCAGTTTGGAGAATTTGTTTGGATATTTATTTATTTATTGGTGGATCCTTCAATGGATAGTTTTGTTTTAGGTCGTCTAGCCTCTGAAAGCATGACCACTTTCTTTCAGCACTGTTGCCCTTGTTGGCAATGAAACTGTGTACTTATAGGTATACCTTATATATAATGTTGCATATAAGCATTGTATACTAATGCAGCACCCACTTTTTTTTTTTTTTTTTTTAAGCTATGTTCTCTGTGCTGGAAAAGAAGCCAGTACAACATTATTTAAAGTCATTTGCTGTGTGCAATTTGTAAATTTTTTTTTCGCTGAAACTTCCACCAGAGTAGTGATATTTAAAATGCCCTCTCAGTCATTGCCTAAATATTTTGACATGCGGTTGTTATCTTCTGATATAGTTCCAGAAAAAAAAATGCCACTTGCTCCAGGGTCAGTAGCTGTGACAGAGATAAATTGCCTGAATGGTGTGTTCAATATTTTTTGAAGCTTTTCTCATCGCTAAAGCAATATGAGGTTTTTTTTAAACTAGTTTCCATGGAGTTTTGTGTAACAAATAAGATCATGCAAACTGTGGCTTTTTCTAACAGGACGTAGTCCGTGTGGCCCAGGATGGCTTTGCTTGCTTGGTGTCTGTGGTCAGAGTCCAAGTCAAACACAGGGGATTGCACCGATAAAAAGCAACCTTCCAGGCTGAGGTGCCGCTTCTCAACATCAGTGTGGAACTGGAAGGGTTGTTCTGATTTGGCGTTGCAGAGAACCCTCATATAAACTTCTGGAGACATGTTTTGCTTTTGAGAAGAAATAGCCTTTGTTGCTGCATTTCTTAATTGGAAGGTTCACCCATAGTCCAGCTAGTCAAACAGTAGGGAGCTTCTGTGTTCTGGTTTACATAGATAGATGCTTCTTGCACTAAATGTTCTTTAAGTGGTTCTCTTCCTTTCTCTTTTCTTATACCTATGTCTTACAGTAGCCACATGTTCTTCCTGTCTGTCTTGTCAGAATACACCAAACTTCAGTAGATCAGGTGGAAACTTGTGTTGCCACTCTGCATCTTGTGCAGTTTGAATTTTTTTTAACATAGATGTCCAAAACCACTGGTTGAAATGAAGTGTGATCTGCATCTCAATCTGAATTTTATCCCATTTCTGTCATTGTCATAATCATGTCATCACATCCTTCTCATACTATATTCTGATATATCTGTTGTCAATGCCTTGCAACACTGTATTCTCAGCCAACTGTATTTGTGCTATGATGATTATTAGTAATTATTAAATTTAGTCCCAACCTGATCGTCGAGAACTCCAGCAGTAGTCCCTCTCCAGACTGATGCTCCCTCTTCTTACAGCACAGTTTAAGCACAGCTCATTCCCACCTCCCATGCAGGTAAGAAGTTTCTTTTATTTGATATCCTCTCTACCTTGCATTTTATTCTTTTCTGCATTTAGTTAGGGATCTATAAACAGTTTTCTTTTTTGAGACTTGTTTTCCAGGTTTTATTAGATCAGGCTGGTGGATTGTTTGTTCCCTTCACTTTTATCATGTTCATTATTCTTCAGTCACCTGGTATAGCTCCTCACACCATAGCTTCATTCAGTTCTGTTACTCAGTCTGATATCTGATACCAGTTCTTTCAGAATTCAGGGCTGGATACTATCGCCATTTTTGTTAGCTTCTGTATTTAATTATGTTTTCCATGTTGAAGAATATTTCACTTTGTTAAGTTGCTATAGATGGATTATTCCTGAGCTCTGTTCTTTCCTGGCCACGTTGCGGCCCTGATGACTTGGTTTGTTTTTGAGGTATTTATTCAGTTGATGAGTCTTTTGCTTTTTGTGCCAATGACAAAGTCTAATTCAGTGTGACTTCTGTCAGTTTTGGTTTTTGTCTCCATCCTCCAAAAGACTAGTTTGTCAGTCTTTGTTTACTTTGCTGATTTTGGTTTGGGTTGGATGATGGGCATTAGGTTTTTCTGGTTATTCTAAAAATTTGGTTTGGTTTGGTTTGGTTTGTTGTTATCCAGGAGCCTTGTCCTACATGTTTTTCTTCTTGCTGATGACACATGTTCTGGACAGCTTTTGTATCTTGGGTAACCTATGAAATACGTGAATCTTTCACTCTATGTAGCATTAGCTGAGACCTTGGATAAAGAATTTTACTCAGGTTTTGGTACTGTGCTTTGCGAAAGCCTGTACCTTCTTGACAGAGGAGAACAAGGAGACTTAAAGGCGTGAGAAACGCAACTTCCAAGGAAAGCTGGAGCCCTTTTTCATATCATTCCCTGAGCTAAAGAACTGGGCTGTCCCAGTGCTCTGTGTAGTGCCTTTGAGTCTGTATGCTGTGAGGGAAGATACTAGCACAGTGGAGCTGTTTAAGCTGAACAGACCTGAAAACTGGTGGAGGTCCCTCTGTGATTAAGGCTGAACTTAAAACTTTCTAAAGAATTTAGAATTTTGTTTTCTGTTTGAATAACAAAGTTGGCAAA